GGGGGGGGGGGCACCCTGCATCGGCGGGCCGGCAACTTTCTGACAGTGGTGGAAGTCTGGTCGTGGGCCCCAGATTGGTGCTTTATTCCGGGGCGGACTAACCGACTGACCGTCAGTCGTAACGTGAACTCGACTCTACGAGTTCATGCCTGTGCGGCCACGAATACGAACGCAAAAAGTGGAGGCACTGTTTGGGGAGGTGTTTTGTATTCGGTCCGCCTCGAATTTGTGCGTCAAGGGATAGCAGATTGGCCCTCCAGGCTGTGGAGGCGGGTTCGAATCACTTCCACCGTAGCCCTGCGAGTCGTAAAAGGAAAGTCGTGAAGGGAACCCAGTGCCTGAGGATACAACTGGTCCATCCTGTTCCTGGGGGATATAAATACGGGTACCTGGCCCTCCAGGTTGGGGGAGTCTCGAATCTGAGACAGCAAAATATGGTCTTGGGTCCTGCGGGACTCGGACCTGAGAATGAATGCGCTGGCGAAGACCAACAACAATTGTAAACGACAGACCCAGCCTCTCGTCAAAGAAGGTGTTACATAAGGACTACGACCGCATGTGTTCAATCGAGAAAAAAAAATTCTGGCCGTGAGTCTCAAGGGACTTGGCGCCAAGACGAAGTAATTGGCGTTAAACCGACAGTCGTAAAGTGACTCTGACTCTTTGGAGCCAGTCGTAGAATGAGAAGCAGAATGAAGAGAGACCTCGGCGGTCAAGATTGATTCTGAGTTGTAATAATTGGCTGTAATTGTAAAGTGCCAATAAATCCAATCATCAAATCCAGAATCCGTTGTCATTCGTCACGCTAACCTCGGACACGTGATAATATGTTGATAGGGTAAGAGACAGAAGGACTAGATAATAAATTTGTATTACCGGTTAAATGTGAAGAAGTAACAGAAAGAAATAATGCATAACAGAAAAAAAGAAGAAATATATTGCTAACCGAGACCAACATTGAAACGGGGAAGGAAGGGGAAATGCAACGAAAGTAAGAAAGCATATTGCCTTCAATTATTTAGTATAAGTAAAATGTATAAATATATAACACTACTCGTATAGACGATTATGCTATATAGAAAAGATATAGCTATCCCTGTAACAGTTTGTGGAGGTCCATAGGGTTGTGAGACGTCGAGGCTCCCACATTTTCTAGACAGTCTGCTCACAGACGGTGGTGAGGTTGTCAGCTTTACGCGTCGGCCACCCTTTATCCCCAGGAAGATTCATGGTACTCATTTCTGTTAGAGGCTGAGTCTAGCTTAGGGCTATAGTGGGCTTGAAGGGTTAGGTCAATTGAAAAATCCAATAACCTCATCAGAATTTGAACCCGCGACCTTCCGGCTAATAGCATAGTGTCTCAACCAACCACGTTACAGCGTGACCCGATTATGCTGCATAGAAATTAAAAAAGGTTTTATTTCTAGCACATTAGTAAAGGTATTTTTTAACTTGGTTTTG